TGGGATCATGTTCCCCAGGGGTGAGGAGGGGCTTCCCTGGCTGTGATCTGGAGACTCAGTCCCAGGAATCAATCTACTGGATTACTCCCCTGGAGATCCTGGGCCACTACTAAGAGTAACAATTTCTCTTGAAATGTACTTCCTAAAGCACCATGGGTTTCCGGTTGAAGCCTTGAGCATGGGATTTAATTTTCAGATTCTTAACAAACCCATTTGCATCAAGATGCCTACCTTGCCCACCAGTTTGCCCACGATGGCTATGACACTTGTAAGAAGAGCTGGGTATTGTGATTGCATGGTGGTGTGTAAATGCTGCCACGGGCCCTCTGAAGCAGGCTTGTTTCATAGTCATATGCAATATAACCAGGCACCCTGTGTGTTGAGCCCAAGATACCAATGACTTCCCACTCTAGAGGCCAAGCAGAGATGAGGACTGACTTACCTGAACCTCTGGCAGGAATGAGTGGCATCTGAGACCACCTGCTCAGGTCCCTGTAGCCTGTCTGTTGCAGAATCTATGTACTCTCTTTCTGAGCAAGAATTAAGATGGAAGAAGTATTTTGCCATTGTCTTTGTCAATAAAACATTTTTTAATGAGTGTCCTCTCTTGTTTGAGCACTGAGCTCTCTGTCCCAGAGCTGACTGTGGTGGTCCTGTTTCTAGGTCCCTGCAGAGGGCAGCCTCTGTCCCCAGGTCCAGAGGAGAGTCCTCAGAGAGGCCTCTTTGTCCCCTCCCAGTTCAAGCCAGCCAGTTGGAGTCAGGATGTCTGCTGGACCCCCACTCCCTCAATTCTGAGATTCCTCCGCTGCAGAAGGAACTGCTTAGACTAGCCTTTTTCTCCTGAGGGAGGACCCGCGTAACTAGGAACTAGGAGCCGAGAGCAGGGGCTTGGGAAGGCCTTGCTGGAGGGAGGAGGGGCAGAGGTGAGAACTGGGCACTTGAGCCCAGGTCCTGGCTGTTGCTGCTGGGGTCTGGGGAGGGCTGGTTCCTGCTCTGGGGCCTGTTTCCCCAGTTATGAGATGCCCAGGTTGTAGAACAGACAAACTGTGGGATAATGGGGCAGCTGTGATGATGGTGAAGCTCTGTACAGGCCAGCTTGGTGCTCTGTTCATGCAACCACACCATACCAGTATTTCTGCTTCAGTAGGTCTGGAGTGGGGCTAGAGAATCCATATCTCTAAGTTCCCACGTGGTGCTGATTCTATGGGTCTGGGGTCCCCGTGTCTGGCTGCATGTTTCTTCTTATTATATGTGAGGGCTTAGCCAAATGTCACATGGAGTAGAGTGAGGAGGGCTTCAGGGAAGGGGGGCACCGGGCTCCCTTCCTGGAGAGACTTGATGCACAGAGAAATTCCATGTAGGTCACATACCTGCTTCTGGAGTGGGGGTCCTGGTGTGGTCTGCAAGGTCCTCCTGGCCTGCTTCATGGAATTCGCCACAGCAGGGCAATTGTGGCTGCCTCTCAACCTCTCTGGGTCTTAGTTTCCTGCTGTATGATTGAGGGGTGCTGATCAGTGGTTCCCACACTATGTCCTGCAAACACAGTGGGTCCTGCATGGTCACTTGGGTCCCTGGTAAGTGTGCTGCCACTCTGCCATACCCCCCTACCCCGAGCACATGTCCGTCATCCCCACGGTCTTGCTTGGGGGTCTGTGTAAGACCTCCCTCTGCAGAGACCTCAGGGGTATAGGAGACTCAGAAGAGTTGCTGAGGACCCTCTTTGCCCAGAGTTCCAGGGCCTGCCACCTTGGACATGGGGTACTGGGCAGCAGTTTGGAAATGACCTGTGGGCATCATTGTAGCTGTGCCTATATGGGACCTTGGTCCTGCTGGCCATCTTGGCATGTGGGGGATAGGGCAGTGGTCTGGAAAGGCCCAATCTTCAGATGTGTACAAGAGCCTGGGAGAGCCTCTCTCACTACCCTGTCCCCAACTCACGTGTGAGATGCACCACAGTTAGGTTTTCAGATATTTTCACTGGGGTGGGAGCAGGGAAAAACCATATCTCACCTGGACTGAGAAATTCTCCAAGATCCCTGAGGTGGGCCTCCTGTGGAAGCAAGGCTGTTTTCTACTTACAGCTCCAGGCCTGACTCTGTCAGAGTCTGCTCCACCCTAGCAGAGGATCATGGCTGGCCTTACACTTGTTCTTTTGCTGTATCTTACTCGGGGCCGAGGAGCCCAGGATGGGATGGGGAGAGGGCTCCTGATGCCTGAGGAGGTGCCTAGTCTATGAGGGCCCCAGTTCTTTCTGAAGGACACATAGAAGTGATTAGGTGCCAATGCCCTGGAAACCTTATTGTTCCTCATCCTGGGGGCTGAGGAGCACAGAGAAGGAAGAGGAGAAAGGGGAAGGGAAGTCAGTTAGGGTACTTTAGGGACTTTGGAGGCAGATGGACAGAGTGTCCAGCACTAGGCCAAGCTGGAGGTTACAGGGCCAGTGAAGCTTGCAGGCTGAATCTTACCCAAGGCATAAAGGTAATGATAATGGTGATGCTAACATGTACTAGATAGTGATGTGTACAAATAATGACTTATGCCAGACAGTGATGATGATGGTGATATGTACCAGATAGTGATGATAATAACATGTACTAGATAGTGACGAATACTAGATAGTGATGATAATGTGTGCCAGATAGCGATGTGTATCAGATGGCAATTTGTACCAGATAGTGACATGTATCAGACAGTGATGATAACATGTATTAGATAGTGATGAGTACCAGATAGTGACATGTACCCAATAATGATGCTAACATGTACTGGATAGTGACATATACCAGATAGTAACATGTACCAGATAGTGATAATAACATGTATTAGGTAGTGATATGTATCAGATAGTGATGATAGCATGTACTAGGCAGTGGTGTGTACCAGACAGTGACGATAATGCGAACTAGATAGTGATGATAATATGTCTAGATAGTGGCATATACCAGATAGTGAAGATAACGTGTACCAGATAGTGACACTAATGTGTACCAGTGCCCAGCCCTGTTCTCATTACTTATGTATTAGCTCATTTAATCTACTTGACATCTCAAAGTAGGGACAATTATTGTCGTGTTGTACTGATGAGGAAGTGGGGCACAGAGATGTTGTTGACATCATGAGGCCCATGCAGCTGTGAAGTGGCTCTGCAGCATTCCAAGTGGTCTGGAGGCACTTGATCTGGGTCAGGCTGCATCAGTTTCTGCTCTGTCCTGTAGGCCTGGCTCCCACAGGGCTCCTGGGAAGTTCCAGGAGAAGAGGGCGTCCCTCTAGGCCTTGGTTGTGGCTCCAGGGCACCTGCTGGTCCAGCTGGGTATGGATCCAAGGTTCTCACTGCAGACCTGGGGGAAGTGGGTGTCTGCAGGGCCAGGGCCGAGGGCTCTGTGAGGTCCTTACATGCCAGCCCATGCACAGCAAGAATCTGGGGGCTGTGAGACCTGGTGTGCACCTGCCCCACTCCTTGGTTAGCTGTCCCCGGGCCCTGTGATGGTGCTTGTTCTGATGTCTTCATTTCTTCTGTGTGTGTACGTGTGTGTCCTGGCTGCCTCCGCCTTTAGCGTTTCATTCGGAAATGACACTAGGTACAGCTCACTTTTCTCTTCTGCCCTCGCTTGTTCTGTCCTCTTCTGCTTTCTCGAGTTCCTTTCTCCTTGACGTCTGCCTGCTCTCTGCTCGTTTTCTGATCGCCTGCTGTCCTTACTCTCCTCTGGATCTCTTCTTGGTGATGTGTGTTGACAGCGGCCCTGCCCTAGTCCCTCTGCTTCATCTCACGTCCCTGACTTGTGAGAATCATACCCCATGCCCAGATCGTGCTGTGCAGTAGACAGTGCAGCGTGGTGCCATCTGTGCCTCACTGCGGCCTTGGGAGGAGCCCAGCCATTTTGGAGTCTGCGCTACTGCCCAGCTGTGTGTGCCAACCTATCTCTGAACTGTGTCTTTATGAGGATGCTTGAATGGAAACTGGGCGAGGCTGGGTAGACAGTAGGGGCAGGGGGCTGACAGTGATGCTCAGGATGTACGGAGCAGCCACACTGTGATTGAGGCAAACTCTCCACCTGAAATATGACCAGTCCTCCAGATGAACACCTAGCCTAGGGAAAGAGGTCGGGAAATCTGCCATCTGGAGGGGTGAAAACAGGCATGTCGTAAAACAGATATCCTGTCCCAGAGCAGACAGCACCTGAGGTGTCTGTGGAGCCCAGTGGGACCCTGTGAGGATCTAAAATCCCAGCCTCCTGGATTGGCCCCAAGCTATACTGGGGAGAGGTTTGCAGGCCACTGGCTCACACTAATTACCTTTCTGAGTTAGGGATCAGGGACAGAGAGAAGAGACCCTGTCTCCTTTTTCTAATAGACAGCCATTCTCACGTGGGGTCCCATAGCTGCAGCAGCAGTGATGTTGTCTGCTCTGGACCACCCTGTTTCCACTCCAAGCATCCTCCCCCAAGGGGCCTTCCTCTGACGGAGAGCAAGTCCATTGATGGAGGAGATGGACTCTGGAGGGTTTTGGCAAACCTGGGCAGGACCTTTCAGGTCCAGGGAGAGATGGTGTCACCTCCTTACTCAGACTGAGGCTGGAATGGGCCCAGCCACCAGCTTCCGTCCTTTCCCTCCTGCCTCCAGCCCTCCCCTAGTTCTCTCCTCACCCTTTCCCTGCGTGGCTCACCATCTTAGCTCCCTCTCCTGCTCCCTCCTTCCCTTTCCTCTCTGCCCTTCTTGTCCTCTTCCCCCTCCATCCTCCTCTCCTCCCAGCCTTGGTGTGAAAACTGGAGCTCCTTGGGCATCACAGAGGCCCCTGCTCCCCTGGTCCTGAGTAAGGAGGGGGCCTGACCTTCCTGGAGCTGCCACCTGGGCTTCAAACTGTGACTCCAGAGGCTCTCCCTACGGGCTGCCCCACGTCGGTCTGTCTGTCTTTCTGTCCTTTTGTTTGTTTGCATGTCCCTATCCCAGTTGAGAGTAGCCCCCACACCATTATCTGTTACCTTGTCTCTGCTTCCTTTCAGGACCTTTTACCAGTTTGAGGCTGCGTGGGACAGCTCCATGCACAACTCTCTCCTGCTGAACCGCGTCACACCTTATCGAGAAAAAATCTATATGACCCTCTCTGCTTATATTGAGGCAAGACACCTCTGCCCAGGGCACTCCACCAGCCACCCTCCAAGTCTTGAGGTGCTGTGGGCCCTGGACAACCCCAGATGATCCCAGGCTCTTTTAAAGGACTTCTTAGGTTCTTGAGTTACACCCATGTGCTTTTTGGCAATGCCCACAGTGAATCCACTCCACTTTACTTAGTGTGGAATTTTGTCCTTGGGATTGTAAGATAGCTGCAGCACCACCAGACGTTGTGTCTGTGTTCTAGCCAGCTCCAGAACAGAAGGTTCCCAACTCCACTCCTGTTCCCAGGGTCTGAAGTCCCCAGGCCATGGCCAAACCTGGGCTGTGGCCTCCCTTTAAGTTGTAGGAGGTGGCTGGGTGTATGAGTGTTTTTTGCTAGGCACAATAGTGAGGGAGAAGGAGACTTGGGGAGAACAGGGCAGGGACATTTGCAAGGTACACCCCCACTGCTTAGAGCCTAGTTGCTCTGCTATTATATGGGTGGTGTGACCATCTCATGGGATGGCCATAAGGTTAGACTGAGGGGACACTGGGAACTTTATGCAGCGAGTGTTAGGACACCTCAGGTTGCTCAACAGTTACCACCAAGTTTAGGAAGACAAAGGAATGAGCTGATTAGTCATTAGCATGTTGTCCAACAGGCATTCATTTTTAGTGTCATTTTAGAGTTTAAATATGTGTACACAAATGACCTAGTTTGATCCTCACAGAGGTTTTAAAAGTGGGGTGTCTTCCTGATTTCATGGTGAAGCATTTGAGATCCTTGAGGCAATGAGGCCTACATTTGGGACTCTCAAGGTCTTTACACGGAGGCCCTTCCCTCAGGTGGTCAGGGGTGGGGCCTTGACTGTCTGTCCCCAGCAGGATTTGACTCCAGGGCTGGAGCAGAGACTTTGCCTGGGGTCCTGGGAAGACCTGGGACTGCGGGTCTGTGCTGGGCCTTGTGTTCCACAGAGACCTTTGGAAGCAGGGCTGGGGCACTCTGGGGTCCTTGTGCCCAAGCCCCTACCTTCCGCCTGTCACAGATGGAGAACTGCACACAGCCAGCTGTCATCACCAAGGACTTCTGCATGGTCTTCTACTCTCGTGATGCCAAGCTGCCAGCCTCGCGCTCCATCCGCAACCTGTTTGGCAGTGGGAGCCTTCGGGCCTCGGAGAGGTAGGCTCACAGAGGTGATGTGGGGGCTGCCTGATCCATCACCCTGGTTTTGGCAAGGACAAGGCTAGACTCTACACAGGGAATGGCAGTCTGACTTGTATCTGAGGCCCGACCACACTCTTGGCTGGTTCCCTGTGCTCACTTTTCTCTTGCTCGCCTGTGACGTGGGTGTTAGTGGGGATCTTAGCACCTGCGGGGGACACCACACCTTGCTAAGGAGTGTGAGGGAGCCTGGGCCAGCCTGCAGGGAGAAGAAGAAAGGAAGAAGGCCTGGGGTGCCTGTCTGAGGCCTCCTGTGGGTGGTCTTGGGATTCCACTGCACGCTTTGCTGGGTGACCTTTCACCCTGGGGGTCATAGGAATCCATGCCACAAGAGGAGGAGCTGGGTAAATATGGGGGGCTAGCTGGGAAGGGAGAACTCTAGACAGATCTTCCTGCAGGACACAAGCTGAGCTGCTCTTCTCAAGGCTGGCAGCACCAGGGGCGGTGTCAGACATCAGACACCAGGGCCAGCATTTTTTCTTGTGCTTTGACCACTTCCTTGCATTCAATTGGGGGTGAGAGAAATGAGTTGGAATGCCAGGGCAGTGAGGAGGGTCCACCTTCCTGGCAGCAGGGATAGCTTAGGCTGCCAGACACCTGTGATCATCCTCACTGAAGCCTCCCTCCATGGCCTGCCATATGGACCCCGTGTCCAGGTCCACTCTGGGCACAGTCAGAAGGAAGGAGCATGGGGTTCAATACTCATCCTCCTTGAAGGTTGGCCATGGTCACTCTCGGATCACCCAGTGACTGTGGGATGCAGCTGGGTGGGCCTGTCTCCAGGAGAGAGTAGCTGAGGGAACTCAACAGAACCAGTGTCCTGGGAACAGCAGGGCTTCTCTGGGAGGTGAGGTGGGGGGTGTAGGGCCTGCAGGGCACTCTATGCCCTGGAGGGACTGATGATGCTGGACATTAGGGATTTGGGGACAAATGTGCTCATGCTGCCCGCTCTGGCCTGGGACAAAGTGAGGCCCTTGTGGGGTTCTGGCCTGGGGTCATGGTCCCAGGGCACCTGAGGGAGGAAATCCAGTACATCCTTTATTTGGGGACTGGAGGGGGTCTGGGATGGGGACAACTCAGGGATCCTGACACTTCACTACCCCAGACCAGGACGCCTGGTTCAGGAGTGTGGTGGGACTTATGCCCAACATGCGTTTGATGGCAGTGCGAGGCAGCAGTTAGGCTGTCTGTATTCTTGTTGTGGTGCCTGGTGGCAACATGTCTCCCACTCTGCTCCCTGCAGCAACCGAGTGACAGGTGTGTACGAGCTCAGCCTGTGCCATGTGGCCGATGCTGGCAGCCCAGGTAGGTGTCCACTCTGTGCTCTCTGACTGGGGTAGGAGTCAGGGCACAAGGGTCCCTGGTCTGCTTGACCTCTGTTCCCTTCTGAATGACCACAACTAAACTGCCTTTTAGGGAAGTCCCTCACCTGCAAAACGCAAGTACTCATCTTGCAACTTATGGAGTTGTTCTGAGATGGGAGGACAGCAAGGGTGAGAGTCAGGCCTGTGGGCTACCTTGGCTGCCCAGGCCATAGCAGGGATGGCCAGGCCGGATAACTTCCTGTGAACCACACTAGCATGGTTTGAAGGGAGGGTACTTCAGAGCTATGTGGACCTCTAGAGTGGGTGGGAAGATCTGGTCACCCATCGGGTAACGATGGACCTTCTGTTCCCTGTCTAGGGATGCAGCGCCGGCGCCGGCGAGTGCTGGATACCTCTGTGGCCTACGTCCGGGGCGAGGAAAACCTGGCAGGTTGGAGGCCCCGGAGTGACAGCCTCATCCTGGACCACCAGTGGGAGCTGGAGAAGCTGAGCCTCCTACAGGAGGTGAGATAACCTCAGAAGACAAGGTCTGCAGGGTTGTGCCCTCTAAGACCTAGTTCACTGGGTGAAAGCTGAAGACCTCCTGGTGCCCGGTGCCTGGTGGAGGCCATGATCAGGGAGTCACAGGCTGCCACCAGGATGGAGCATGTGATGCTCAAACTGCTCATGGGACTTTGTGGCACACGACAAAAATATAGCCAATTTAGAACAGAAAGTGTATTCTCGAGTTAAGTAAGAAAGATTATCAGGCACACAGGCCCCAGAAGGAAACTCAAAAAGAGTCATGTTTTCGGAGTGGGGAAAACTCTTGCTTTGATCAGGGAAACCCACATCCAACAGCAGAGAACTGACTCACAGGCCAAGGTGTGCATGGGAGGCCTGAGGCAGGAGGCTGTGCCCATCCCTCAGGCCTTTCTTGAGGCCCTGCACCCCAGGAACGTGGTGTAGGGAATGCACATACTCATCTGCTCATCACAGGGCCCACATACTGTGGCCACGAGGCTGTGAATGGAGGGAGGGCAGCTTGTTTGCTGGCCATGAAGGTCAGCTTCAGGACTTGGGGTGGGTACTGAGGGTGCTGTCAGCCCCATGGCCCTGGGGTCTATTCCGTCATTTCACATGCAGAGGGCCATCGGCCTCAGCCTAGGGAAGGGGTGGGCTTTCCTGGATTCTGCCCAGGAAGACTTGCTGCCCCATGAGGGCCAAACCCCAGTGCATCAGATGAAACCTTGTGCTCTGAAGGTTGAGAAGACCAGACACTACCTGCTCCTGCGGGAAAAACTGGAGACCACCCAGCGGCCTGTCCCTGAAGCACTGTCCCCGGCCTCCAGTGAGGACTCTGAGTCTCGTAGCTCTTCCAGCGCCTCCTCCCCACTCTCCACTGAGGGTCGGTCATCACCCCTGGAGGTTCCCAGCGAGAGGCAGCGGGAACTGGCCGTCAAGGTAGGTCAAGTTGGCTGGCAGCACAGTCATGGCCCCAACACCTTGAGGGCCCAGAGTCACTCCTGGGCAGTTCCAGCAACACAGCCTTGTCCACAACTGCTCTGGTCAGAGCTGCTCTGGTCAGAGCTACCAGGAGCTGAGAGCATGAGGGGTCTGCAGAGTTCCCTGCTCACTGCTCCTGCCCTACCTGCACTGGAAGTTGGCTGCCTTTTTCATCCTTCTTCCCCAAGTAGTGATGTGTCCTCTTGAATATTTGTCTTGATGGGGAGCTCACCACTTCTACTCAGAGGTGGTCCTTTGGCTGCTGGATAGGCCCCTGGCAAGTCCTTCCATGCTGTGGACAGCTCTGCTCCCAACCTTTGCACCAGGCTAGGGGCCTGCACCTGGGTGGTAACCCAAGCTTACCCCTTGACCTGGAAAGGATGGAAGTGTTGTCACCTTGACCCACTGTACTAGAGCCTGGGCCAGCATTCCCGTGTCCAGGGAGGGGCAGGTGGAAGAGCCTGCAAGTTGTGCTGGGGTGAGCGGATTCCAGGAGGCCTTGCCCTGACAATGCATTTGTTCCATCTGCAGTGCCTGCGCCTCCTCACACACACGTTCAACAGAGAGTACACCCACAGCCACGTCTGTGTCAGTGCCAGCGAGAGCAAGGTGGGTGGGGGACTGCCCCAAGGTGCCCTGTGGGACTTGGGCTCCTCCCAGGGAAACCTCCCTCCGCCACAGAAAAAGGCAGTAAGGATTTTCTCATAAGCATGTCTCTCTCACTCCAGAGGGACACCTCGTAGCTACATGACTGTGTTCCCTGGGCCTAAGGCCTGTGGGTGATGGGAGTATAAATGAGGGGCTGGCCAAGTCCAGGGCCACCATGATGTCTACCCAAGCCCTCACTTTGTGTGGCCCTCACCTAGCTGCCTCTGTCCCAGCCCGGCCAAGTGCCCCCTCCTTGGCTGTCATTCTTCCTCTTGGAGATTGATTCTCATTTTTCAGCCTCATGCCCCTCCCCGAAGTCTCCAGAAGCTGCCTCTGCACTGTATGAGGCGTGGAACTCCCACCCTGGCTCACAGCCTGCACACCCAGCCTTCCCTCAATGGGTACCACCCAGTGCCACCTTTCACTAGTTGGGAGGGAGGCAGCAGCACCAAGCTTCCCCAACCCTCCCCTGCCCCACCTTGAGGAGATGAAAGGCTGGTCTCCTAAATCAGGGGAGAGTCTATATCCCTGGGAGGGGCCAGCCAGGGGCATGTAGGAGCTGGGAGTAGGCAGGGGTCTCAGGGAGGTTACCTTTGAGCCGGGACTGCTGGGAAGAGGAGGAGAGGTGCCCTGAATAGAAGGTAAAATGCAAGTAAAGGTACAGGAAACAGCCACTGAAGGGGTGCCCCACCCATAGAAGCCCAGAGACTGTTCCCCTTCCTTATGTCCCCCCTTTCTCTCTTCCACAGCTCTCTGAGATGTCTGTCACCCTGTTGCGAGATCCATCTATGTCCCCTCTAGAGGCAGCCACACTTACCCCATCCTCCACCTGCCCCTCTCTGGTCGAAGGGCGGTATGGTGCCACTGACCTGAGGTGAGTTAGCCCTGAGATTCCTGAAGAAGCTTCTGGCATCATGAGCAACCCTTGACAGTGGCTCTGACTTAGGGGCACAAAGCAAGTGGGCACTAGCAGCTAAGTGTCTTGGGATGCCACACATATTGAGGGAAGGGCCTGGAGGAGTATGCCCATTTCACCTCAAGTGTGCACCTGCACCTTACCCAGATGCACCCACACATTCTAGTGTGTCTCTCTTTGCTGTCAGAAGCTGTTTCTTGATAAAACTTAGATGTAAGAGGAATTGGTGAATAAACCCAGAAAGGGGTGAAAAGCAATGACATCTTTTTCCCGAGATGGCGCTCATAAATACTCAAGGGGAAAAGAAAATGCTACAAAACAGAACTTGGAGAATTCTTAGGCCCAAAATTGTAAGCAAGGAATGTCAGACATTTGCAGATCAGTATTTAAAAGTGAACTCCTGTTTGCACGGTGGCTCATGCCTATAATCCCAGCATGTTGGGAGGCTGAGGTGAGCGGATTACCTGAGCCCATGGGCTCGGGACCAGGCTGGTCAACTTGACAAGACCTCATCTCTACAATAAATAAAAAAGATTAGCCTGGCATGATGGCATGGGTCTGTAGTTCCAGCTACTTGGAAGACTGAGGCAGAAGGATCACCTGAGCCCCGCAGGTCGAGGCCGCGTTGGCGGTGAGCATGCCGCTGCATTTCAGCCTGGGTGACAGAGTGAGACTCTGACTAAAAAAAAAAAAATTAAAAAAATTAAAAATAAAAGGGAACTCCCTCTGATTGTTAACCTATTATTCTTGACTCATAAAATTTCAGGTGGTTTTTACACTTGTAAAATGGGCTTCCAATTTCTTAAAAATTGATTTCCAGATTGTTTTAAAATGGGTCTCCAGATTTTCTTTAAAAAAAAGAAAGAGGAAGATATTGAGCCTTGGATCTTCATCCTGAGCAAGACTGCTGGGTTGTCAGGGAGGACTTGCAGCTGACCATGGGCTGGTAGCACCCTTTACTCAAATGATCCCTGAGCACATGGTGTCACCTTAAAGTTTATTTTTGGAGATAAAAAGATGCTGGATCTGTTTTTACAGGGGGTGAAGGTGGGAGCAGGAGAAGCCTTTGGGGAAGAGCATGGGATCTGGTATAGCCTCCCTGAGCAGATGCCTGAGGTCACTGTGGAGCCTCCCTACCATGCCCAGCACTTCCAGGAGTCAGCCACACATTTGGCTGCCGTGGTGGGTGGGCTCCAGTGCTCCCACAGTGGGCATGGCCAGGCGGCCCCATAAGGCTGCCCTGCTGTGACTCTGAGGGAGTGAAACACAGGAAGAGATGACTCTGGACAAGCTAGAGCCTCCCTCAGGATGCAACAGGTCCTCTCTACTTCCCAGGACCCCACAGCCCTGCTCCCGGCCTGCCAGCCCAGAGCCAGAACTAGTGCCAGAGATGGATTCCAAGAAACTCCCTTCCCCTGTCCGGGTGACGGAGGCAGACAAGGAGCCCCAGCGCCTGCTGGTCCCTGACATCCAGGAGATCCGGGTCAGGTGTGTGTGGGCCCTGCCTGGAAAACACTGTTCAAACCAGTTCTGTGCCAGCAGAGGACTGGCAGGCCACCTCTGGCTTCCATATTGGAAATCAGGCAGGGCCCCATGACTCATATGCAGGGTTTGGGTATGAGCAGAGGACAAAGGGCAGGTGGGTGGGTTAGAGTCAGAGCACAAGTGGGGACCTAGTGATCAGGGGGCCTGGTGTGGCAGCTCTGGGGCAGCTTCTGCTTTTTTCTTCAAGTTTCCCTATTTTACAGCTGGGGAAACTGAGGCATAGAGGTAGGTTGGTGGCTCCAGTCTCCAGACTTCTGGATTGTGGTTCTGCCAGGTGCTGCTTGATATCTAGGTCTACTTTCTGAACAGCGAGGTAGCTGGCACTGCCAGGGCCTGGCTCAGAGAGCACCTGTGTGGGTTCTCCAGCCCCCGCTGACTGCTCTGGAGGGCCCCAGTGAGCAGGTGTCTCTACCCCTAGCCCGATCGTCTCCAAGAAGGGGTATCTGCACTTTCTGGAGCCACACACGTCGGGCTGGGCCAGGCGCTTCGTGGTGGTGCGCCGCCCCTACGCCTACATGTACAACAGCGACAAGGACACGGTGGAGCGGTTTGTGCTTAACCTCGCTACCGCCCAGGTGGAGTACAGTGAGGACCAGCAGGCCATGCTCAAGGTGAGCTGGGCCCGGCTCAGGGACACGATACTCTGGATAGGGCACAGGGGTTCCCCAGTGGGGCAGAAGCTGAGCTGTCATCCTCCCCTGTGTAGGAGCAGGAGGCCCATCTGCTCACCCCAGACGGGGACCTTCCTGTCCTTTCCCACAGAGGTCAGGGCTCGGGGAACTTTAGCTCAGGGTTCCTCTGCCTTCCCCTAGGACCTCTCTGCCCACCTATGGGCTCATAGTCCTGGTGGCAGCTAGTGATGGAATCCGTGGTCCAAGGGTGGGACAAGCATTAACATTCTTTTTTGTGACAGCCAATAACTACATCCCCTCCTCCTGGGATCATCCGAGGCGGATGGTGTGAACCCTGTGCTTACAGGCAGAGTCAGGGCTCCAAAGAACCCTCCTGCCCCAACTCTGTCCTGCTCCTCTCAGAGCTGGCTGGGGAGAAAAGGTTCTCTGAGGCATCTGTGGGTGGCTACAAGATTGGCAATTCCCTGTCATAGGGATGGTCAGCATGAACTCAGCTTGTCACCCATACCCACCATGCCTGGGACAGGGACTTGAGAGAAGAGGAGGCAGGACAAATAGGGCCCAGTGAACCTATCTGGACGAGCAACTCAGTGTCCTGGCCTGTCAGGAAAGGGCATGTCCCGTGTGGATGCAAAGCAATGGCGAGGGTAACCCTGGGACTGTGGAGGCTTCCAGAAAGGAGTCACAGGCCTGAGTCGAGTCAGGATGGGTTATGGGCCCTGTACAGGAGCCACACAGCTTTTCCCCTCTGTGTCTGGTGTGGGTTCTTCTTGCCAGTATCCTTATCTCTGAGACTTTCCCAGTGGTGCTCCTTCTTAGCCTGCCTGGGCCTCAGTAGAGCAGAGATACTGTGTGCTGACTGGCCAGGAGACCTTGCACCTCCTCACCAGCAACCCCCCTTTGCAGACGCCCAACACATTCGCGGTGTGCACAGAGCACCGTGGCATCCTGCTGCAGGCAAACAGCGACAAGGACATGCACGACTGGCTGTATGCCTTCAACCCCCTTCTGGCTGGGACCATACGGTATGGGGCCTGGGCCCATGGAGCTGGATCTCCTCTTTTGGGGTTCTGCACTCAAGACCCACCTGGGGAAATGCCACATCTGGACCTTAAATGATGTTCTGAGCTCCAGAGAGGAGAGTGGGACCACAGGCCTCTCCCTGCTTGTATACTTGAGGGGATGTTCTTAAGGACATTAATGCCACTTCTGTGCTGTTGCTGCTCATAAAGCCATTAATTCCCGAGGAGATGTTCAAAATTTACATTCTACTCTGGTGGGGCTTGACATGGGGAAACTGTATACACAGGCAGGCTGGGCAAGGGCCAGGCCCTGGGTGGCACGGAGTCAGGCTCCTCCCACAGCAGAGACTTAAAAAGAGGGATGCAGAGGGAGTGCCAGGGCTAAGTCCTACTGGCTGGAGACAGAGATTAAGTCCTTCTCCCTGGGTGGTGAGAACCAGAGCAGACACCAGGTACTGCCCCTCTCAACCGCCTGCCCACAGAGGGTGAGGTGGACGTGGCATGGAAGTGAATTCCTGGTCCTGACCACACCATCTCTCTCCACTCTCCTGCAGGTCCAAGCTCTCCAGAAGGAGGTCTGCCCAGATGAGGGTCTGAGCCGGAGCCCTCCTGTGACAGCCAGCAGGCCAGGCCCCGCTCCCCACCCTCATCCCTGTCTGTTCTGTCACTTGCCGCCCAGTCCTTTCCCCACCAGACAGCCCACGACTGAGTCCCCCTCCTACCTGGGGGACATCGTGGCGGGCCCAGCGGACCTGCGCCACATGACCGGATATGCTCCCAGCAAAGACTGTGCGTGTTGTTGTTTCTTCTTTTAAATTGTGCTTTGGTTGAAAAGAGCTGGGAAAGGCTGAGAAGGCCAGAGGGCACAGGTCACAGGGGTTATCGCTGCCGTTCTAATATTTTTTTAAGCATAGACAGACTTATTATTAATATACATTAGTTAGTGACATTGAAACAGTCCACTGGGACATTAACTATAAGACTGTGTTCTATTTATAAGTATTTATTTCTAATGCCTCCACATAGACCTGTAAGATTCAGATGCCTCCCCTTACCCCGTTTGTTCCCACAAGCGTCTCCCAAGTCTGTTAGGGACAGACAGGGTGGGAGCAGCCATCTTGGAAGACCATTGTGAGATGGTGTCTGGACCAGTCAGTCACCTCCTGGTTGGCACAGCACATGGGGGTGCACCTGCCTGGGCTCAGGCTTCTCCCCAGCTGCATGTGCAAGCCCTTGTCTCAGGTTATGAGGGGTGGTGGGGGATCTCCTGACACTTGAAGTCTGAGCAGCACAGAAGGTAGTGTGAGTTACTTCCAGTGGGAGGTAGAACCCACATCTCTTCTGGGAAGCCACTAAGATGCGACTTTAAGAGCAATTCCGGCAGCTTTCCCCTGGAAGGGGTGTGAGATGATGAGCCACTTTATGATGAGGCAGAGGGTGCCCGGCCATAGGGGTCTGGCCAGGGTGAAGACTGGGAGAATAAGAGTCAGGATTCCAGCCAGACTGTACAAACCTGCCCTGGTGGGGTTGTGTTGTATCCTGACTATCAAGGCAGGTAGCTGGACTGAGACCAGAATGTCAGGGAAGGCTGGAATTCAGGGTGATGATCCGGGTGTCAAGAGGCTCATGATTTTGCCTCTCCAGCTGTGTTAAGAAGTGGAGTGAACTCAGGTGAGCTCCTGGGAAGAAATTCTGCAATTAACTGGTTTCTTACAAAGATTGTCCTCTCTTTGATCCAAGAAAAGAGAGTTTCTGTGAATCCCAGTGAGAAAATTCCGTGAGTGGGATGTGTCCCGGTTAGCAGGTGAGGGCAGCCCTCGTGATGGTCATCAAGAAGCTCTTTCCTTCTGCATCTGAAGGTGTCCTCTTGTTCTTGTTCATTTCGTCCCCTCTGCAGACCCCAAGGCCTGAGGGCCACCCAGGATAGGACAGAGTCATTCTGAAGCTGAAAGTCTGGTCATAGGTCATGCCCAGAGTCCTGTAGGAGAGGTTCTTGACCAGAATTCCATGTGGTCTCTCTTTAGCTCAAGGAAAATAAGTAGCCAAGTAGCAAAACCTCCACCCACCAGGAGCAGTTTCCATTCCGGTCTGGCACTCCAGACCCAGGTCCAAGCGATTCTCTGGCACAGCTCAGCACCTTTACCAGATCCTGCCACTTGGTTTGGATGAGCTCACTGCACCCTGTGCTACTGGGTCTGAGGTGCCTCCATTAGCCTAGGCTGTCCCCTTGTGGTACTGACGTGATGTGCAGAGACTCTCTGTCCTGTGACCTGGGGCCGAGTGCGTGAAGCAGCATCTAGGCAAAGAAACAGTTGGCTCTCGAAGTTAGGGGGAGCACCCACCTTCCACAGCAAGTGAGCAGGTTCCAGTGTGAGGTTTTCTTTTGGGAAAGTTGTTCAGCCCCCTTAACTTTTGCCTGGGATGGCAGGATGCAGGACAGGCAGGCTGGAGCCCACTCTGGCCACATTATCAGTGCCTGCCAGCTGAGGCGAGCTCAGGAGTTGGGACTGTGAACTGCCCTTTTTTCTACCTGGTCTCAGATGTGGTGTATTGGGGACTACTTTTGTCCAATGCTACCCTCACCCCCAGTGCTGATAGAGGATCTCTGCCAGTGAGAATCAGGTCTCAGGAAGCCACATCTGTGAAGCACAGGACTCAGCAGCTTTCTTTGGAGATTTCCCAGGTGAAGATTTACATGCCAGACTGAAATTACACCTTGTTCAAAAACCAGGTGGCCTGTGCTCTCCCACACATGTTCTCTAGAGGCAGTGGCCTGGTTTCAGGGAGAAGAGGGAGCAGAACAGTGTTTTAGACAAGGACCCGCTCTGGTGTTGACTGGCTTGAGGCAGAAAGGAGAGGCAGTGATGGAGCGCACTGTTCAAAGACAAGTCAGGTCTCCAAGGGTCCCAGGCAGGCTAGAGGAGGTGTACGCCTGGCCACGGGCCACTCAGGTCAGCCAGCCTGAGTCGTGGCCTTGAAACAGCCTGAAGCCCTCCCACCACGCTGCAGGTGTCTGAGGCCAGCCAACCTCAGAGCACTGCGGCTTGGGTGGGGCTGAGGGGAGGAGTCTGGGAGTCGCCCTAAATTCAGAAGCCGCCACTGCCATGGAGGCTCCTGGGGTCATTTCGTTATGGCCTGGTTCCATCTTTGTCTTGTCTAGGAACCTGAGTGGGCTACTTGGTGTCCCGCTCTTTTAGTACCTGCTCTAGTGTGGAGAGCCTGAGCCAGAGTCCAGAAACTCAGAGTTGATAGTGAGAAGAATCCATCTATGAGCCAGGAAAACTGTTTTCTTTAAGCTTTCTCTGCTCAAGACTGCTTATGTATTAGCTGAGGGCAATTCATTGAACTCCCTGGGACTCAGTTTCCACACCTGTGACATAGAGGGCTGGTCTGGAAGGTCCTCACATAGTGTAGTGCAGAGAAGAAGATCAGGTCTAGCTGTGGCTGCTGTTTCCCTCTAAGTGCAGAAGGTGAGACAGAACTGGGAAGCCATCTCTCTCAGATGGTTTTATTTTAGTGCTTGATGCTGTCCAGGCTGGGGCTTCATTTTGGTTTGAGGGTGGCTGTCATTCCATGGAGAGGGTGAACTTCTGCTGTGGCCCCCAGGAGAGGGGGATGCTGGGCTCCAGGCAGACCAGCACTTGGGCTCTGGCAAGACCCAGCTGGTGCCTAGGGTGATAAGTCTAAGACCTCCCACTCAGAGTAACTGCTTGTGAAATGCCAACGTTACGTTCACTGGCTGTGCAGGGGCGCATGTGCGCATACACACACACACACACACACACACACACACACACACACACAGGATGTCCAGGATGGCTGTGGTGAGGCGACCTTCCCTGTCAATCCTGGTCCCTAGGGTCCCCCAGCACTTCAGGGTCCCAGATGTGGTTGATGTTACAGGTGTGTGACATGCTGCTGTGGTCCTCTGCCAGCTTCACTCATGTGTGGATTTCAGAAGGCACCTACGCTTACCCCTGGGGCCTGACCACACAGCTCCCATCCCAATGGACAGAGGCTATGGTCGACCTGCGTTTCTTCCTGGTCCTGTGCTTCCTCTAGCTTGTCTGTCCCCTGGGTTCCCCCTGTGGCTTGGAAGCCACGTCCCTGGCTTGTACATATGTGATTGCTGTGGGCACACCCTGGACCCTGTGTCATAACCACCATCCCAACGTAACGACTCCAGTCCCTGATGTCTTACACCTGAGTGTTAGCTATAGGCTCCTGTACTGTTTGTGTGCACTTAAGGCTCTGTCCAATTAAGAAATAAACGTGGCTCTTATGCAACATACACTCATGGGACTCGATTGTGGCTTTGTTTGCATGTTAGGTCTATTGAATGGGGCCAAAAATGGTCACAGGTCCGTTTTTCCAGCACAGTGCAGAGGCAGTGCCCAGATCCCCAGTGTTGAGGCAGGAATGGGACTGGCACTTGGGGTGGAGAGGGTGTGTGGTGGGCAGAGCTTCGAGGCATGAGCGGTACAAGGGAATGCTGGTCTTGGAGCACCCACCTACTTCCCTCAGTGACCGGATACACTTGTATGAGACAGCTCCAGGTACCTGCTCTAGGAACAAGTTACATAACAGCTTCATGTCAGGTCGCTGCAACCATCCCAGGGAGCCTCTGGGGTCTGGACTCCTCAGAACCCCTGGCCCATGGGGTCTGTGCCTTGCCCTGGGTCCTCAGCATCTCCCTTGATGGGGAATAACCTGCCTTCTGCTTCTGAGCTGTGGCTAAAACATACCTATGGCCTTCTGGCCTAGAGTCCACTTGGCCAGTCAGTGGGTATCACCCCAGCAGGATGGGGACTTCACAATATAGGAATATACTTAGAAATTTATTTCCTATCATTCCATTTGTTTATTCCTAATAGTGATTTCATTTGTATCATTAAATCATTAACCTACCAGGCATATATTCTGGCACTTGCCGGGTGTATGGTGTGATAGGCTTACATATTTTATTTTCAAATGCTTTCAGCAATACTTATTGAATAAGCCATCCTTTTTTGTGATTGGAGGTTACTTTTGTTGCACACTAAATAAATCCTATGTAAATGGGGTTATTTCTAAATTTTCACTCAGTTTCATCTACCTCTCTACTTCTACCTTTTTGAGCCACTTTATCAGTCTTTGTACACTATAGGGTGTGTTGCTATCTGATTGGCACCTCCTGCCTCCCTTCCAAACTTGTCTTGGCTAATTTTGCTCACTGAAATTTTCCAAACAAGCTTTACATATATGTTTTGAAACTGTCAGGGATTTAAACTGGAAACTGATAACAGAAAGAAATTTGAAAATTCTGCAAATATTTGTGAATTAAACAACATCTCCTAAATAACACATGAGTTAAAGAAAAAGTCACTATAGAAATCAGAAGATATCTTGAATTGGATACAAATTTTAACATTATTGGTGGGAAGCAGCTGTATCAATACTTAGAGGGACTTTATAACACTCAATGTTTATACTAGGAGGAAAAGTCTCAAACCATTAGTGTGATTATCCACCTGACAAAACTAAAAACAGAGAGTAAATTAAATCCAAAGCAAGCAGAAGAAAGAAATAATAAAGAGCAAACATCAATAAAATTTTAAACAAAAAGCAAGAGAAAAATCATAAAACCAAACAATCAAGAAAAAATAATCAAGAAAAGTGATTACATGAGCTAGCATTATGAGCAATAAAAAAGGAACATATAGCCGGGCGCAGTGTGGCTCATGCCTATAGTCCCAGCACTTTGGGAGGTAGAGGCGAGAGGATTGCCTGAGCCCAGGGGTTCGAGACTAGCCTGGGCAACTTAGCGAGACTTCGTCTCTACAATAAATAAAAAAATCAGCCAGGTGTGGTGATGCATGCCTGTGGTTCCAGCTACTCGGAAGGCTGAGGTGGAAGGATCCCCTGAGTCCAGCAGGTAGAGGCTGTGGTGGCCGTGAGCACACCACTGCACTCCAGCCTGGGCAGCAGAGTGAGACTCCAATTCAAAATAAATAAAGGAACATTAAAGATTCTACAGACACTAAAAAAAATAGCAAGGGAATAGTACTAACAGTGTTGTGCCCATATATTTGACAATTTAAATAAAAATGAACAAATTCATCGAAAGATAAAACTATCAAATGCCACTCAAAAAGAGATGGATAACCTGAATAGTCCTATGTCTATGTCTACTAAAGAAATTGAACTTGTAGCTTAAAAACTTTAAAAAAAGTTTTTTAAAAAAAACCCTCCGTATCCAGTTGGCTAAACTGGTGGATTCTACCAAACATTTAAGAGAGAAAGAATACCAATTCTATACAAACTCCTACAGGAAATGCTGGAGGTGTCTATATTCCTTAACTCATTTTATGAGGTAAGCATTATCCAAAACCAGTAAAAGACCCTGCAAGAAACTAAAACTACAGATCAATATCCTTCATCAACATATAAACAAATATCTTCAATAACATTTTATCAAATTGAATCGTAAAAGAAGAAATGGAAAATAAATCATGACCAAGTGAGGCTTACCCAGGTAATGCAAGGTTGGTTCCAAAACTGATCAATGTAATTTACCATATTAACAAACTAACAGATTCACAAACAGAATAAAAACCATTATTATCTCTATAGGTGGAGAAAAGGCATTTGACAAAATCCAACATTTGTTGTTAATCAAACTAAGAATAGAAGTTAACTTTCATAACCTGGCAAAGATGTCTACAAGAAACCTACAGCTGACATCATACTTAATGGGAAAAAATCTCATTAACTAACATTGGAATCAAAAGGAAGTCCTCTATCAACACTCCTATTCAACATTGCACTGGAGGTCCTAACCAGTGCAATAGGGTAAGATGAAAAAAGGAAAAGGCTCATAACTCCAAATGAATGAAATAAAACTGTTTCTATTCACAGATGGTATAATTGTGAAATTATATGTAGAAAATTCCAAAGAACCTACAAAAAAGCTACCAAAATTAATAAGTGAGTTTAGCAAGGCTGCAGAATACAAGATCAATAAATATCAATTTTATTTCTGTATATAGCAATAAATAATTGGAAATTGGAATGTAAAAATAGTACCATTTATAATAGCACTAAAATATGAATTTACATAGGTACAAATCTAACAAAACATGCAAAATTTGTATGCTGAAAAGTATAGAATATTGACTGGAGAAACCAAAGAAGATCTAAATAAAATGTATACAACATGTTTAGAGATTGGAAGATTCAATATTGTTAAGATGTTATCTCTTACCAAAATGATCTATACATTCAAACAATCTCAATAAAAATTCCTGGTAGATATCAATCAGTGGATTCTAAAAGTTATATGAAAAGACAATAGAACAGGAAGAACTGAAACAAATTTTGACACAAAAGAATCAAATAGAAGAGTCACACTATTCTATTTTAAGACTTACAATAAAACTACAGGTAATCAAGACAGTGTGATATTGGTGAAAGAGAAGACTCATAGATCAATGGAACAGAAGAGAGAATCCAGAAAAAGACCCACACAACTGTATGTAATTGATTTTTTACAAAGGTGTAAAAGCAGTCCAATGGAGAAAGGATAGTGTTTTCAACAATTATGTTGGTATAATTGGACAGTGATAAGTTAAAAAAAAAAAACCTTCAATGAAAACCTCACCCCTTATACAAAAACTACTGAAATTTGATCATAGACTGAATATAAAATCTATGTCTGTAAAACTTTTGTAAAAGAAAAACACAAAAGAAAATATATAGGATCTACAGCTAGGTAAAGTGTTGTTAGACAGTACACCCAAAGCCTCTCCACAAAAGAGAAGAAATTCAGAACTAAACTTCATCACAAGTAAAAACCTTTGCCATGTGAAAGATACTATTAAGAGAATGAAAAGACAAGCTACAGACAGGAGGAAAATATTTGTAAGTCATATATATAACATAGGATTTGTCTCTAGAACACCTAAAGAACTCTCAAAACTCAACAATCAGAATTAAACAACCCATCTTAAAAATGAGTGAAAAATACCACTACACATTACCAGAATCAATACAATTTTTAAAGATAGATACTAACAATACCGGTGTTGGCGAGGAGGCAGAGCAACTGGAACTCTCCTCTGTTGCTGGTGAAAATAACAGTACAGCTGTTCTGGAAAACGGATTTGGAAATCTCTTAAAAAGTTAAGCCTATACTTTCATGTAACTCAGCAATCCTGCTGAATAGCCATCCTAAAAAAATGGAAAATTATACACATAGGAGAACATGTTGAAAGCAACTGTATTCATAATTGTCCCAAACTAAAAGCAACCCAAATGTCTTTCAACAGGTAAATAGTTAAACAAACTGAACTACGTCCATATTCTGGAAAACTACTCCAAATAAAAAGGAACAAATGTTTGATGCATGAAAAGCTTGGATGAATCTCGAAGGCATTATGCTGAGTGAAATAACTAATATCCAAAGATTACATTCTGTGTGATTCCACTTATGTGGTATTCCCAAAAAGACACAACTATTGTGATGGAGACAGATTCGTGCTTACCAGTAGTTACGACTGGAGACTGGGTCCCCATGAGAATTTTAGGATGATGGTACTATTCTGTATCCAGGTAATAGTTGTGGTTAAATGAATCTACACATGCTTTAAAATTCATAGAACTAGCCGGGCTCGGTGGCTCAGCCTGTAATTCCGTGCCTTTTGGAGGCTGAGGTGAGTGGATTGCCTGAGCCCGCGGGTTCGAGACCCGCCTGGGCAGCGAGACCTCATCTCTACAATAAATCAAAAAATCAGCCGGGCATGGTAGCGCATGCCTGTAATTCCGGCTACTCGGAAGGCTGAGGTGGAAGAATTGCCGGAGCCCAGCAGGTCGAGGCTGCGGTGGCCGGGAGCGGCCACTGCACTCCAGTCTGGGCAACAGAGTGAGACTCCAACTCAAAAAAAAAAAAAATTCATAGAACTGTACATCAAAAGAAAAAAGTCAGTATCACTTTATGATAATTTTTAAATAAGGTTTTTAAAAGCAATTCAAAAGAAAAAGGATAGTCTTTTCCAGAAAACTAAGGTGTTGGAACATCCATATGGAAAAAATAAACATTAACCCTTATCTCCTATCATGTACAAAAATTAACTTAAAGAGGGTCCTAAATCTAAGTGTGAATCCAAAGGCTATGAAACTTCTGACAGAAAAGCTTTGTGACCATGAGGTAGACAAAGTTCTCTTAGATATTAAACAAAACCATGTTCTATAGAAGGAAATATGAGAAATCAGGTTTCATAAAAGTTAAAACCAATATATAAAAGGCACTGTATAGA